AGCGAAACATTAAGAAGTATTAAATGTAGATCTGTGTTAAATTCTACATGTTATACAAGAAAATGATAAACATAACACGAAAAAGGATAAACATGATACAAGAAATTACAAGGGTATGTGAAAATTGTTACAACACCCTTTTGACAAAGTATTTTTGTTTCTTGTATAATAGCTTTATAAGAAGTTATACAGATCTTGAATCAACATATATTATAGTAGCTTATAAGTACTTGTCATACTTTAATTTAAAGCCATAAAGTATTATTAAGACTGTGAATTGTCATTAAGACATTTGAATTTCTCTTTGAATATTTCTTAAATTTTATAAATATCTTTGAGTATTTCAAAAGTCTCATTAAAATGGTAACAGTATAACTAAAGATTTCACTAATAAAATTATTGAATAATTTACCTAATTACAAATATATTATATCATGTTAAGATTGCTAGCTAATTATAGATTGTTCATAGAAATAAATTGCTAATTTGTAAATTATTCACAATTGTTAGTAAAGATTAAGTAATTTCAAATCTTACTAACTAATTTGTAAATGAATGAATCGCCAAATCTGAAATTGTTTTCATAAAATCTGCAAATTAGTTCTGTTAGTCATGAAAATGCTTAATATATAAATAAGCTAAGTATATAGAAAATTGTAAAATACTTATTTATCTATAGCCTATAATAATATAAAATTTTGTCTCTGAACATGATCACTAATTCAGTATCACAAAATATTTCATATCTCAAAACTCTCGTATTGAATATTCTTAAAAATGGCTTACCAGATGTTATTGCAAAAGATATTGAAGTTTCAGAACTTGATCCATGCTCAAAGTGTAATGAAGAGCTTTTTTTGTATAAAATTAAAAAAGCATTTATCATACTCACTTGTGGTCATATATTTCACTGCAATTGTCTTGAGCATTATGTAAAAAATCTTTCACAATGTTCAAAGTGTGCAATAAAAATTGAGCTCATTAGCAACACATCAAGTACTACTGTTCCAATAGAAATTTCATCACAAATGATATTTGATCAAAGTCAGGATACAATAATCTCAGAAGCAATAACACTTCGTATCTCTAATCCTATCTTATCACATTTTTCATTATATGAAGCAAACTCAAAAAAGATCTAGTGAAAATACTTCTGAAGTTAAATTATCCAGTAAAAAAATCAAGAAACAAGTTAATAGAGAAGATTCTCCTATATTAAAAAGACTTATTCAGGAACTATCAACTAATGATCCAGGAAATACAACAATTTTGTGATCTAAATTCACCTCTGAACCAAATACAAACTCTATCAATTTTCTTAATTTATATTAAAAAATAGTAAAATCTGAAGATATTAATAAAAAATATTTCAAGATGTTATTCTTTGCCATTTTCATTTTGGAAAAGCATTGGAGAATTATTTTAATTACTACAGAAAAACTAATCCAAATGTACAGCTCAAGAGTTAGTTAATAATAAAGTTAGAACTTAGCTTCCTGAATCAGTTAGTGAAAGCTTACTTCAAAAAACAAAAAAAAGAGCTCAAAAAATTTACGATATTTTTAATGAAATAGGTATAGATAAGATTCAATGTATTTAGTTTTTTATGACTACAACAATAGCAAATATATCTCAGGATGATATTGATTTTGTATTAGCCAAACTTTTAATTTTAAAAGATATATAAACTATCTGTAATATCATCATGTAGTCACGTGACATTGTGACAAGCTGTCACAATCTATGTAATAAAATTTAATCATGTTAGCATTGTTGTATAAATGCACCTAATTTTAATAAAGTATTTTGTTCCCATCAAGCTTAACTTTGTTAATTTTGTGTAATATAGATATTGATCAACCTGATAAAAAATATATCACATATAATTTATATTACAGGTTTGTACTGTACATATGATAAAAAATTTTAGTTACATATTATTATTTTTTGGTTAATATATTACGATGACAAATCAGAATAAAACACTCGTATATAAAGAAAAACAAAATCATTTTGAAAAGTGATATATCTTTAGAGAGTGAAAGTACAGATGTAAGATTTGTAACAAATGCAATCATTATTCACATATATATTGTAAAACATGCAAAAAAGTAGCAGACAGAATATATAGGCAATGTGAATGTGATAATTTTCTAAAGGAAGAAGCGAGAAGTGAAAGTTTTATTATTTCATAATAATTTCAAGTTTCTAAATATCATCTCAAATAATTAAATAAAAATAAATTTCCGTGATGATCAATAGTTTAAGAATTCATGTAGCCTTACTGTGACATCGATATCACCTCTTCAGAAATAAAATAGTTTTTTAATTTTCGCTTGAATGACAAACAAATTCGATTTTGTGATTTATTTAAATATTTCTTTTATGTTACGGAAAAATGTATTGTCATTTTATCGTGACCTAAAAAAAATTTAAACACGTAAATAAACATGTCTACTTCCGCTGATTTTCCTACCATTGAACAAATAAAAGAATTAAAAACCACCGACGATTTGGACAAACAAAAATCTTACGGAAAGTGATTTCGGATTTTTTCGTAAACAACGAATTGAAGGCCCAGAATTCCTTGACTTGACTCAGGAAGAACTTCAAGATAAATTGGGACTGGGACCGGCAAAAAGAATAGTGAAATTAATTAATAAAATCAAGGGCGAAGGACAGGGTAAGTAGTACCACGACTGCATTCGAATATTCCAAACCTATACTGCTTTCTCCGCAATAATTTCATTCATTTTTTGATATCTTTTATCCTCAGGTCAGAAGAAAGAAGCGGATATAACTTTAAGTAAGTTGATTAATTTTACGAATCAGGAGAGAAAATCGTCTGAAAAGCTTTTAATAATAGTGTTTTTTCTTTTTGCTCAATAAAATATCGATAATCAAGCTACAAACGATAAGATCTTACAATATTACCAACGATATAATAATGAACATTCTGAAGCTTCCGATAAAGTCAGCTTCATGAATTTTATCTCACAATATGTGCCAGAGCATACTGAAGATTCCTATGAAGATGTAGTAAAAGCATTTCAAGAATCACAAGGTAAGCAAACAACGTGATGATACTTGGAAAATTATTGTAACAGGTGTTATTGTCATAATTTTTTGTATTACTTTATCATGAGAAAGTTCTTTATCCATTTTTTATCTCGTATATATATTAATTTTCATATCTTTTTATATTTAGGTCAGGAGAAAGCGGATACAGATTCAAATAAGTTGATTAAATTTACGAAAGAAGAAGAGGAAGTTGTCCGAAAAGCTTTTGTTAGAAATTTTCGAGATCCAAGTGACCTTTCGAAAAGGTTCATGTTCTTTATTAACAAGTGTTTGCGTGAATACGAAACGACAAAGGATTATTATGCACCATACACAACCTTAATTCAAGCCAGTGGAACAGGAAAATCTAAGTTATTGATGAATTTTGCAGAAAATATAATGACTGTATATTGCTGTTTGCGCGACTCAAAATCAAGTGGCTATCCATCCAGATCACGTATTACCAAAACACTATTAGATAAGTTTGATAATGAACGAAAAGCCATAGTTACCTACCTTGCATACATATGCGCATGTTTTCAAAAGTTGCAGAAATTTAATGGGAGTTGTAAAGAATGGATTGATGAACATACTAACAGCAATTCTCAGGAGGACTTCTGGAACGATATTGAACGTAGAATGGCTAATATCATGCCCGATCTTATGAAAAATACTACGGATCAGATGATGGCTAAAGGGGTCAATAAATACTTGGATGGACAAAAAATAATAACACGAGGAGGTTCAGTTAAATGTCTGTTTGCATTCGATGAAGCTCGTGCTCTGGTTAATCAAAAGGTTGATGGTGAAACTCTGTTCTACTGTGTACGACGTGCTTTAAAGCTTCTACCCAAAGATATAGGAATTTTTGCAATCTTTACGGACACACATTCATATATTTCGAACTTCTCGCCTGTTCACTACCTCGATCCGTCCAAAAGAGTTGCAGAAGAAGGGTCTAAATTATTTGAGCCTTTTTATTTGTTGGACACAGTGAACATGAATACAGATTTTAAACAAGTTCCGACACTGGAAGAGTCTGAAATCCCGCAACATTTCTTTCGGTATGGAAGACCTTTGTGGGGTGCACTTCTATCACCTTCTAGTGAAGCTGAAGGGTTCAAACCGGAACGTGTTATAGAATTGGCCATGGACAAGCTTATTGGTGGGAAGTCTTTCATTCATTAGAAAAAAGAATCCCAAAACAAAATTAGTATTATTGAAACTTTAGCTATATTTGGGCCCCGTTTATGTATTGACATAGTGCCACAATCTAGATATGCATCTCATTTAATAGCAGGCTATATGCACCTTTGTCTTAATATCTCAAAGGATCGTGAATGCGTTATTACGTCGATGCCTACTGAACCCGTGCTAGCTGAGGCGTCTGCTCGGATAATGAATGATCCAAATGTCCACTTCACAGAACTTATTAATCAGCTCTCTTCAGCGCACAAGAAAGGTGTAGTAGAGGCCGGTTATCATGGAGAACTTACTGCCAGACTACTGCTTCTTAAAGCCTGGGATAATTGCATTCAAAAGAAACATCTAGTTAGCAGAAATGCTGGCAATGATTATTCTCGTTTCGTGACTATAAATGAATTTTTAAAGTCACTACTCGCGGACAATGTTTATAAAAAAATAGAGGATCATCTTAAAATGCAAGTAAAGTTTACGGGGACGAAGTTTGGCGAGGCTTACATTAAGTTTACACACTTTATCAATGTTACATATACGCCGAAAAGGAAAAATCTCGGGGATGCTCTGATTCGCGGTGTTGCGTTTTCATGTAAACGAAATCAGCGGGGAGTAGATATCATCATACCTATATATATGGGCACTCTTCATGAAAAGCTTGACGAAGATCGTATTTCATACATACTAATACAAGTTAAAAATTGGTCTACGGATAATAAAGGCGATGACTACCCACTCTCTGCAACAGCAAAGCTGTCGCCAGCATATATAGACATTGAGAAAGTTCCGCATATGCCGTTTTTGTCCTTGTATTTGCAATTAGGTGCAATAACAGAGTTTGTTGACGTTCCAACAGAATTTATTCAAACACGTCAAGTCACATCGTGTAAACGTAAAATTGAAGATGTGCTGGAAGAGTATCAAGCAGGTGATATCGAAACGAGAGGTGAATTTATCAAGAAGATTAGAATCGACAACAATAAGGATATCTCAAATGCCGAAATTACAGCGTTCAGAGAGCATTTTCAGACGCCACTTGCATTATTTGGATTATCTCCAAACGTCTACAGCTGTTTGGAGCAACTTACACCAGTTCCCGCAACCTCGCCATCGACCATCACTAATGATCTTGCAAGTAACTTTAAGCAATTGTTGACTGCTTGGGTCGATCCTACATTGGGGGAACATCCAGAAGAAATGAAGATAATTAAACGTATGGAACCATTAGTATACCAGATGGAAGAATAAATTATTTATTACAAGATTGAGTGGATATTGAACAGTATGTAGTTTAGTAAGGGGAATGGATCGAATAAGTTTAGCGTAGAGGAATGTTGCAACCCAATATTTGTTGTTCTTAGCATGTAATATTAAAATTTTCGTATGATAGACTTAACATTTGATTTCTCAATTAATAAAGCTGGTCCTGGTGGCTCCATTTTGCATACATAAATGTGTTTACTTTTGCATATGTATTTTGGGAGTTTTATTACATTATATGTCTTCTAACCTGCATATAATCGAGAATTTTAACAATTTTTCTCGGCATCGGCGTGAACAATTGTTCACGCTCACATGATTTTGTTTATTTTGGTTACCTCTTTATAAAGATAACTTTAATTGAATTAAAAGCCATCAACTAATAAAAAAACATTTTTCAAAACGTGGCTAGTAGAAATCTTTTTCCAAACATTTGTTATAAAGTTATATAAATTAATATCAAACATGCAGGCTCAAAAAGACAAGTCTAAAGACT